AACAGATTGCTCAGCACATCACCGCCGTCTGCGCAATGAAGGTTGCACTCTTCGTCAGAAAGCTTGCACATCATTCATCATTGTACATATAGGCTAGTCATTTACCTTACTTGAATAATTTATTAAAGCCCCTCTGAAGCATTGTAATCTCAGACAGTTTGTTCCACTATATTGTGGACTTCAGAATGTACATCTTGCTTACCCTTATACAAGCATGATTGCTGGACATTTTGTGGAGGAAACGAAAAGGAACTGATGGATTGTACCGGTACCTCACCGTTTAGTGTTAATTAAAGTGATGTTGGTTTTAGGGCCAACATGCCCATGCTGGTCTATGGTGCTCAGTAGCAATCTGCGATTTTATTTGACGATCTACTACGTACTTTGCACACTAATATTTATGTGAAAAGGGAAATATATGCAAACAAAGTGCCGCGACCGGAACCAGCTGTTGTTTGCGTTGTCTGATGATATGAAGGGCAGTGAAGCATTATGTATCGCTTCTAGCCAGTTGGAGTCTAGTTTGTCACTAAGTTTCACGAAATCCGTGGGTAAAGCCAGAACTGAGATCCTGTTTGGTTGCCAAAAACTAACGTACTGAGTGGCAAGCGAAATGCTTTAAAATATGGTCCCTATCTTCCATTTGATCTATGCTTGTGTTCGACTGTAATGGTTCCAACAATGGGTGCATTAAAAGGCAGGTTGATCAGCAAATTCAATCGAGGCTATTCCAGATGGCGAATGTGTCCGTGGACCACGTAAACCTTTGAAAATTGTGAGAGGTAGGATCCTAGCAGGCATCTGACGTTTACATGTAACAAAAAATAACAGAAAAGAACGAATGACCATACTTGAAGTATAGCGAAGAGGCCTCAAATGACCTGTTACTTGGCCTCTTTATGTCTCAGTAACTCAATTCCATTTTGAAGAACAGTGGTTTCATTTTTCTTTATTATGTAAGCTATTTTTTGTTGATATAAATAAAAAACAGAATGCCATCGCCATACTTCGCAAGCAGATACCCATTTAATAAAAGTGACCTGCCGCTCGACGAATAAATCAATCAACAAACGACTGATTTTGCTGCATGTTGCCTGAATTCGGTCGACTGGGCAGTCATTACGGAATCACTAGTTGCTCACCAGTCACTGATAACGGGTCATAAAACTAGTGGTTGCGATCACGTCCCTACACCTAGTTTGCTCACTTTCCTAGGTCATTATGTTGTTACACTGGGGTTAACCAAGAATCTTTTCCCCATAGCATAGGTAAACTTTCACTGTACAGTCTTGATTTCCAAAGTGCAGAGAAATATACAGGATCGTCGTACTTACAATGATTTTGTGTCCTTCCCTCCGAGATCACGGTTTTTTGCACTTGGATATGTTTTTTCCTACGGATCAACCTAAAATTAATGAGGTTGAGGCTCCGGGTCAACCAATTGTTATGCATGTACGTTCAGCTACTGATGAAGTTAGTAAGTAGTAAGACAGTTCAAACAGGCCTTCATTTAGTCGGACGTTTTTGGTGTACCCTCTACGGTGGGGAATTCGTAGTCGTTGTAGGGATCCCCATCGGAACCCACATACTGAAAAGCTTATGTGAGACGAAAATGAAATTCTGGAACGTCCCATAGAGAACCGATAGACTTAGCACATTCAGACCTTCAACCCTACAGGAAGGTTACGAAAGCAGCTGTGGTGGGACGCCTGAGATAAATGTCATTTTGCTAGTCGTCGTGGTTACCATTGCACATATAAATGTATACGGCTTAAATACAACATGCAAAAATGTGTCATAATATTTTAAAAGGTTGCGGTTGATTCGGTTCCATGGTATACAGGTAATTTTAACTCTAGTCACAAACTTCACTGAGTATTAATTCTGGCAGGCTGGAGTGGGGAAAATGTCCTATTGTGGTCAGCCGGATATCCTACCGTTAAGACACGCCGTGCAATCGATTGATACGGATGACTGCTTGGGTGATGCTGTCACATAATTTTTGACATGAACTGTGTAAGCGGTATTGCCATTCTTTGTGAAAGAAACCTAGGCTTCCTAGTGATGTTAGCCACCGTAACTATCTTTGCACAACAAGCTTCTCAAGCTTTACGCCAAATGCTTACGAACTTGGCTTCTCAGTGTCGAAAAATTTGCACCAACAACAATATGCCTGAAAAGTAATTAATAAGTGGGTTTTTACTGCGCAATGAATATCTAGAAAGCGTAATACAGATAAGAGGGAGAATGAGAGCTATACTGCTTCATAGCTTATTAAACTGATATTTTTCAAGAAGTTCGAAATACTTGGTCACCTTTATTCATCTAATAATACAGTAATAAGATTATGGCTGTGGGATGTCGACATTTTGCCTTTTTCTCATCAACCACAATACTAAAATCAATCAATTTAATATCATAAATGGCGATAAATTGCAGTACAGTTCCAATTTTCCAGTTTTTCTACTTTCTCTCGTAAACGAAACTCTGTGTTTTACCGAGTCAGCGGTGTATGTTCGCCTGACTATCGTCAAGACGAAGAGTTCTTAGACAGGACGCTGATTTCTAACATCAGCCTAGAAGTATTTATCAAAGCTAACAGCACACCACGACATAAGCGGGGGCCTGACCATTCAGTAAAAAAAGAACGGAATACTTGCCAGGCTGCTATCTAAGGGAGGCCACCCAACCACAACTACACGGTACAAATTGCGTACCGCAATCGGTCATACATGGGTTCAACTAACCCTGTTTACCTAAACGGGACGGGTCAATCTTTGACGCGAGCCTCGCATTGTACCTACTGCCTATGCCTTACATGTGTACCGTATCACATCCAGCTTTGGTTAATGATACAGTATCACAACAGACATGAGCTTATGTCAGACATTCCCATAATATTCACCTCGTTATTTGCGCGAGGCTGTTAATCGGACGAGACAACTAGACCTACCTAATCGAAGGCTAAACATATTCTGTCCACTCTCTCATCCTCTCATCATAGCGTTTAGACAAGTGTAGTTTTCGATGCGGTCATGTTGATAAATGAACACCGACCCAGCTTCTGCACACAAGCCGTCAGCTTACATCGGACTTACTAACTGGCTAACCATACGAGTGGCAACGCTCCACTGTTTTGTTGTCATTTATCTATATTCATAGTGGTTTTCAGTGTCGCGGCGAAAAAGCCAAAAGCTGACTTTATCTGCTCTCTGTGTGACTCAACAGGTATTCTCTTTCATAGTGACTAACATATAAGTGAACACGGGATGGAATAAGACCAGAGATTCAACTCATTCTCGGCCAACCATGGGTACGGAGTTGATACACTCTACTCTAGAGCTCACAATTAACTCGTCGTTCCGTCTTTTTACCAAACACTTCACTTATCGGCAAGCTTAAATTGTGTCTAAACTTAGTCGCTGTAACGATGACCAAATACGCAGCAAAATTTGCACAACAGTAATTATCAAGACGTCACCATGACCCCCCTTCATCTTTTGCAGAAAATAACTTTATGATAAGTCATGCGGTCGGCCCCGGTTGATCATTTGCTACAGGGCCGCACAATTCAAACCGCCGAGCGTCATTAAAACACGACCGATTAAGATGCGGAGACAAGTGTTATTTGCATTTTGTATCTGATAAGAAGGCTAGTTTCATCGGCTATCTCATCCCAACACTGAGGCCTATCTATCTGTGCGGAAAAGCCAGGAGGTATTTCGCAACCATTTCATTCTCGCTAGGACATTTCAGCAGTACGTATCCCATAAATCTCAAAGAAGGTTCCAACTCATCACTCCTTGGTCAGCGGCTGGACACTGGTGGTTGAGCAGCCGTGTGAGTTACCCACATCTAGACAGGATATAGCTCCAAAACCATTCACTCCCAGAGTTCTTGTCGAATAATTCGGTTTTGGCTGGCTCCTCGAATAATGAGTACTTAGATTGAAAACCTACACGAATTGCGGAATCTCCACTCATTTAATGGATTGCTTCTAGTCACCTGTGACCGGATGGCATAATGCTTAGTTGCTAAGCTGAACGGAACGGGTTTGATTTCCATTCATGAGACGTACACTGCTGATATGCTTCACAGTGATTCGCAGTAAAACCGCCTATTTTCATGTAAAGCTAGATTTACGGGGTGGAACTTCGACCACGACCTCTTTTTTGGTCATATCATAATGTCAATCCGAGCGTCCAGCCTCATCGAAATAAGAACGGTAGCTGGCACCATTCGGGTCGTGTTGAGTGCGGTGTGCCATGTTTTGTGGAAAAATTGGGTGTCTTACAGTCGAACAATAGTTGCAGGTGGGATCTGACCCGGAGGCCACAGAATCACGTGGTCTAACCGGACGGATAATTAAATGGTACTTATCTAGAAATCTTTCAGATAACTGAAAAGCATTTGTTACTGAAGTTTACTTGAAAACACGATTCATCTTGGGGTTTCTGGTACAGTATTGTGTCTTCCAGTTCCAATTTGTGGGTTTAAATCTTTACCAAGCTTTTAGCTTAGTAAATTTTCGTTCACAGACCCCGTAGCGTAAAGTGAGGTAAACTGGTTATAAGTTTCTTGTGCAATGGTAATAAGCTGGCTGTTCTCGCCGAGAGATTTCGGATTATCCCAGCAGTGTAATTCAAGGCTGTTTTTCTTCGTCAACCTAAAAACATTTAGCTGATCCCGTGTCAGATGCTCCTATTGTCTTACATGTTTTCGTAACCATGACCACTGAAAGTTTTCATCAAGTAAATGCCGTGGTCACCATATCTGTCTCTTCACTCATCGTTAATCCTGCCTACCGGACCTACGTTCCTCTGTCGCACATGTGGGAACAATATGAATTCATTAGACAATTGTCTTATTGTTCTTTAGACCAATAGCCTGTTGCCAGGGTAACTGGCGAATAGGAAAGTTATTGTTTCCGTTTTTAATATGGTATTAATTCACTTATTGATAAATACTTTCATTCGCTGTTTCCTTCTAAAAGACATCATATGGGAATTGCAACAATGCAAGGAAATATAGGAAAGGTTTCAGTGAAAATGGTAAGTTCCCCATTGGCATTCCATTAGAAAAGGTGTGTCGCCAACTAAGCAAGTTTGAAACATCCGTCTTCTAATTCAAGGATCGCTGGAGGTTTTTTCTACTTCTTCCAATCTTGTGAATTCCGCGAAAAAACACTACTTTCGGACTGAAATTTTTCATCGATGTTCGTTTTTCTGTGCACTAGGGAGCTGTCATCATAGGAGAACAGCCTTGGGCGACGATCCACAAGAGAGTACCCCAAAGCTATCAGCCCAAGAACCGAAAAGGCTCAAAGCCGTCTCCCATTGAGATACCACTTTCGCTGCCCGGCTATCAGTAAACTCTTCTGAGGGGTGGTCTCTCTAGAAAAATACGGCTGCATTATTACAAAATGCGATACAAAGAATAATTAGTCTGCTAAAAATCATCAAGCCGACGACACAGTTGATGAGAAGCAAAAGACTTTCCCTTAAAGTTGTTCTTAAAAACCCGGGGTTGCCACTATGCTCACTAACAATGTTCTAGTATGTGTACTAGATATTTTATGTTAATATATCCATATGCGTGAATGCGTTTTTTTAGTGTAATATTCATAACTCCCATAAGTAAGAACTCAGTAATAAACAGTAAATTCCCAAAGGTGACATTTACATATAGCGTGCAGTGTATTTTGGTCACTGCCCAGGATGATCATACCTTCCGATTGCAGAATAAATTCACATGCTGCATAGTCACGTCCCGACTGTAGGTATTCAAGCAAAACTACAGGAAAGTAGCAGAGCAAACCTGAAACTGGCAGTATATAACGCTATGATGTGCTTATAATCTGCCTGACGGACCTGATGGAGCAAACGAACCACTGTTATTTTCCTGCCAGGCATGGATTCGGGCATTATTGTGTAGATGGTGAAAGTCTTCTCAGTTTAAATGTAATATCCTGGAATATCATCTGATGCTTGTTGTCGCCGTCGACTGAACAGACGAACTAGATGAGCTAAATGAATCCTCATCTTCTTAGATGGATAAGTGGAAAGTTATTTGATCGTTTACGTCTGCAGATGCGAATATGTGAGCTCCATTGGAATCTGTAGGGTCAGTTCAGTTACTAGGAAATGACGTTCTAACAGCTGCTTGTAATAAGGGTGATTAAAACAATAATTGGATAAATTATCACAGATCAGTTCATCATAAGGCGAGTGATTGCTTCAATGGATTCTAAGATTTCGCGGTCTAAATTGGGAAACACAATTAAGAATGCTCGATTGGCGTCAACAACACGATCTTCCAAAAAAGACGGGTCACGTGGAATTGGGTGACATGTTGGTGACGGCTGTTGCATGAAATTCTGTTGTTAACTTAAGGGGGGTTTCTTGGTGAAAACGCCCATCTGCGGTGTCGTCGTAAGTGTAAGTGGAATAAGGAACTGGGCACTCCGGATATCTGCAGTTGGCTGAGAAAAGGATCTACCCCATTCGTCTGTTCTAATAAATTTACGGGGCCTAATAGCCACTGACGCGCATTTTAAGCTACTGGAGATGATAGTGACGATGCGAAAAAGAACAGGATCAGGAGAACGAGAACGACGACGATGGCGGTGATAACGATGATGAAGATAATGATGTTGGCGGTGATGGTACTGATGATGGTGATAAGGATAATGATGAGGATGATAATGAGTTGAGGGTAAATAATAATAATAATAATAATAATAATAATAATAATAAAGATGATGATGATGGTGCTGATGGTGATAGTAAGGATGGTAATGAATAGAGTGCTTTTAATGATGATGATGATGATGATGGTGGTGACGATGATGATGATGATGATGACGATGATGATGACGATGATGATGATTATGGTGATGATGATCATGAGGAGGAGGAGGATCAGGAGGAGGACAATGATAACGATATTGGTGGCGATTATATTTCATCATTTGTTTCCAGAATGCTTCATCGTCAGCCAGCTCAGAGGGTCACTCAGGTAAACTACGAGTCAAACGGAGGCGTTTAGGCTTTTAAGATCTTGCACGGCAGCATCCATGGATGTTGCAAACTAACGAATGACCCTTGAGACTAACAGAATGCAAGTTAGCTCGGTTGCGCGGTACGATCGAACTGTGTAATTTTTGGCGGAAGAGTGTGACCAATACACGTTAGCTCTAAACGGCCATTGGATGGGGAACAGTTTGTCTTAATTTGTCCAGAAAAGCAAACGTTTATCTAGCCCTTGATCCGTTTGGCATTCTTACGGGATAATCTAGCTAAGTCATACAGAACGCTGCAACGGCAAATTATACGTGAATTTTTTTTTCTGGTTTTACGAATGACCGAGGTATTCAGCGATTAAATTAAGCAACAAGCCTTAGGGTCACGGACTGATCCAAAACTGCATATGCAGAGGCTTCAAAACGCAGATCATCACATCTATTTTGAATAATGAGAAACACGTAACGGGCCTCCGGTCGGCACTAGAATGAAACGAAATAGCGAACGGATTATGATTTATTCGACACCAGTAGTCAATTTCGATTTCACATTCTTGAAAGAATTTCCGTCTGCTGTGTTCGTTGCGCACACAACTATACACACGTCTATACCGACTTTCGTTGCCATTTCTGGTAGAGGTTTATGTATTTCAAGAGTAGTTAGTGATTAGGCATGATATTACTGAAATATTTGCAACTAATTATTCACCTTTCATTTGGTGTAACGATAAATGTGAATTGAGGTGAGGGATTGTGAAGTCTCTTCAAGTGAAAATAAATAGAAAAGAGGCTGCAAGATCAATCACGAGACAAATACAAAAATATGAATTAAAATCGCCGCAACTAGGGTATCGATGCCTGTGTATATGACCAAAAGTTCTGGTTTCAGGTTCCCAAAACTCGATTAGAGCAGCCCGCCTATAGGGAGTATGTAATTATTCTTTACGCGGGACTCTGTCGTTTGAGCGATCGATCAGTACAATCTGACACTGCTTCATCAACGTGAACTTGTCCACCTTTGGTATAGTGGCCAACAGTAATCCAGTATAAGTGCACAGATGTTAAGAGCAGTCGGTTAAAATACTCTTTGGATTCGTCGGTTCAAACACCAAGCTGAGAACCGTTGAATAACTGCAAGATGTAAATCTTTCATATGGTGTGTGTATTCCACAAAAAATTACAAACTTGCCTTACAAATGGAGTTCATCTACTTTTCCGTTTTGAAGATTGTCCGCGCTATCTTATTATTGGGACATAGTAAGTTCTCAGTTTCTCGAAGCTTCTGACTCGTTCCCAGTTTGGTCCGTGTACTCAGTGCCTACATGCTACAAGCTAACCGGAGAGTCCAGAGTACTGAGCTACGCATCTATGTATCAAGACACAACAAAGGTGAGTTACCGATTATCTCAGCATCCAAATAGACTTGATTTTCATCAGTTATCTTCCAGCAGCCTTTTTTTGGAAATGAACTTAATCAGTGACACTAGAGCCTTATTCGCAATGCTATCGTACCCTTTTTGCAGCGTTGATATCGAGAGATCCACCACCAAAGAATGGTATTCCACATGAAACCCATAGGGCCACAAGAAAGGTCATTTAACGAAACAATGAATAGGGCTGTGTGAAGGACAAAAGTGACTAGAACACCAGAATGGCAGTCACTCAGAAAAGCTTGAGGGAGGCATGTTTAAAGATGTGCAGTGATTTTGCTACCCGAAACGAAGCATGCTGGGTTCATCGAAAATAGTCACTCACCCTGTATCCCAGAGCGAAAGCCATAAGCACATCTTGTGCCTTTTATCACAGGCTAGAACAGAAATCATGTGCTTGTTCTTAAAGTCCATTTTTGGGGTACGTCACCATAAAATTACGGTTAGTTAGTAGCCGAACCCTACCACGCTCTCCTGGAATGTGTTGAAGAGTAGACTGGGCCCAAAATGAAATAGTTGATTCCAATAACACGGCTTCTTCAGGCTTTTAGAAATGTTGATACATTAGGTAGTATGATATTGCATATTATGTTTTACAACCTGTATATTATACAACTAATACATATGTTACATTTTTTGTGTTACAATATATTAGTGTGAATAGTGTGTATGTCACATAGTGATACATGTTGTCGCAATCACAACTGTATTGTACATTACAATTGATATATTATACATACTCTATAGTAATATACGATATCCCATGTGTTTTGGCCTATCATGTTTAGTATTGGAAACTGGAATAAACCTCCGACATCTGATGACTAATTCCGTAGGGATCTTCTGAGTCCAATGACCTAAATGGTCAGTTCTCTTGGTGGCCTCGTCTGGGAGAGAGTTCACTGGTGAAATTTTGTAAGCGCACAGCCAAAGTCGGCCTATTTTTAGGGATACATTGTTTTAAAGGTGGTCTCATAAAATACCGCAACCGTGGGAGACAATTTTGTGCATTCTAAGACTCTTGTACTTTGCCGTTAACAGACACAGGAACCGTCTTAAGCTATTCATCAGCGCACCCAAAGTCTGTGTACGCCGGTATTGTCTCAGCGATGTTTCGTCGAGTCAGAGTGCTGTGCACAAAATAGATCGACCGAACGGCATCTCAAATCGAGGTTGCCAACAAACTTCAAGAAATAAGATACCCAGTGAGTTTGATTAAGCCTCAACTAAGAAAGATATTGGCTCCAGTATCTAGACCCAGTAAGGAATGGATTGGCACAGCAGTCGTTCCATATAAATTAGGAACATCGGAGGTTTCATCAGTGAGTCCTTTTCAAACTAGATCAGTGTTGAGTGTCAATTAACCACTCTTGTCGGCTAACGTGAGTGCCAAAATCTTGAATTGATGGGTTGGAGGGGTGCCAGGTTAGTTCGGATCGCTTTTCGTTCCTTAATCTTCCACTTCAGGGTGCTTCACTTGATGATTCACCTCGGGTGCCGCTATTAGATTTTCCCTGGTCTTTGTGGGGTTGTGAGTGCTCAGACAATTTAGTTTGAGGGGGTTGAGGTCAAGTGGATTTCAGATGATGGCCATTCTTACTTCTGATGACTGCACCCAACACGTGTCAGCTCGAGTGACTCAAGACCGCTCTCCACACGCTAGCCAGTTCCACACCTTCCATTCCGTTAACACTGGGATGCTTGGTGATTTCTACCGCCTCGGCGATCAGTCTCTGTGACGTGGACCGCAGTCCTCGCCTCAAAACCTCAACATTTTCTAAATCTATTTCGTGTCCCGTGTCGCGTGCGTGTTCCGCAATCGCCGAGTCTTTCAGTAACGCTTGATATTCATCTGCGTTTCTCGGTGGCCTGTTTATTTTTCTACTATGCTCCCCGACTCTGATGTGTAGTTCCCCGGCCGTCTGTCCTATATAGACATTGGTGCAGTCATTACACTTAATTTTGTAGACAGTCCCTGGTTCTGTTTTCCGGGAGGCGATCCTTCTATTGCACCAGTGCAGAGCGCAGAGTGTTTCACCTCTGGAAAGCCACTCTTATATTAGCCGTGTTTAGAATTCTTCGAATTACCTCCGGTGTCCCTGGTTTATATGGAATAACAGCGGTCCCGATCCCTTCCCTGTTGGATTTCGCCACCAGTACCAGCACCCTTCGTAACTGACGCCTAATCAAACTAGTTGGATATCCACTACCCCGAAGTTTGTTCTGTACTTCAATATGGGTCGCTGTCCGATCAACTTCTTCTGTGCACAGGACCCTTACACGCCTAAACATTGATGAGACAATACTGGCGAACACCGACTTCGGTTAGGCAGATGAGTAGTTCAAAACTGCCCCAGTGTTGGTTGGCTTCTCATACACCGTGGTCCTTAGTCTCCCCCAACCTTATGCGTCATGCACTCTAAGAAGGCCAATTTACCCGATGTTGACTCCACCTCCATACTAAATTTGATCTGTGAACTCAGTTCATTGAGATAGTTGTAAAACTCATTAACCTTGTCCCGTTTCATGACGACGAAAGTGACATCTACATACCGCCAGAATATCTTGGGTGGGTACGGGAATCCGGCTAAAGCTCTCTGTTCAAATTCTTCCATGAATATATTTGCCAAAACCGGGGATATTGGAGATCCCATTGCTAGACCTTGTTCTTGAGTATAAACGACTGAGTCAAAGACGAAGTGGGTGAGATTCAGACATGTTTTTATGCGCTCCACTATTTCACCTACCGTCTGCGGTCCGTGATAAACCAAGCTCTTCTGAAACGATGACTTCTCAATCGGCTCCAAACTTTATCCAATTGACTGAAAACATCGGAGGTTATTCGAAGACTGTTGAAGTTAGCCAAAATTCGAGTAGCCTTTCAGGAGGAAAAAACGCTACGCCCAGTTTTGGTAGAAGTGAAAGATCCTTTTCCGGTTGAAAGGATTAGGGACTGCGTGTATAAAGTTAACTGCAGCGATTGCGCTAAGGTTTTCATAGGACAACGTGCCAGGGAATTGCACATCAGAATCGGTGGGCATAAAAGAAGTATAAACAAAGCACCAAGGAATGCAGAAGAATACCAAACGCTGGTCAAAGACTCAGCGATGGCGGTACATGCCTTAGACACGGGACATTAAGTAGATCTGGAAATCGCGGAAGTTTAAAGACGATGACTGCGATTTACACTGCAGCGGCTGATAGCTGAAATTACTAAGTACAACAGCAGGAATAAAATCGAGGGTGTGCAACTGGCGAGCGTGTAGAAGGCGGTCTAAGATAAGCCGAGTTGACACGTGACTGTGTGGTTGTCAATCCATTTGGGATCATCAGAAAAAACGGGGGTTGAGGGTGGAAACCCCGACCGACCAAAGGTCACAGCATCCCTTTTACACAACTTTCTCAGCATTAGCTCACCCACACAGACTGACAGAAGGTTCAAACGAAGTTCAAGAGGAACCAAATCAAATGCACCGAACCATAAGAACTAGACCCAAGGCTGGACCCTAACACATGTAGGTTTTCCCACCGACCCAACACTTGTTCAACCACTCTAACACACTAAAATCCCTCGGCCGATACCCAACAGAGATTTAGCTTGACTTAGCTGATTGGTTCTCCTTCTGCCTTAAATCTCGACCAACCTCGGAACCTGGTCACTTGACCTGACGAAGCTTTTGTGTCAAAAGCGAAACTTTGCCCAGCAATAAATCTACCGATTGTCACCAAACTTTTTCGAAAACGAGGATTGCGCTCACACTGAATGAGCAAAAATAACTGAAGCCAGTACAGGTGCATCGTAATCTGTTGCGTAGTGGAGAGTACCATAAGCTAGGTCCAACAAAGATGAAATTACTCCGGACAAGGGTGTAATAAGGGTCCACTTAAACAGTGCATGCTTGCCAGTCCTATGTAACATGCTTCGCAACAGAATAAGCGCATCCCTTCCATCGTCCTGTTTTGCTCCAACGTTCATTTATCACCCCTTCTCACAGCTTTCAAGTTCTTTTAAAGATAAAAATGAAGTCGATCCGTGAAAAATCAGACTGAACAACTGGTATTATATATATATATGTATATATATATATATATGTATATATATATATATATATATAGCCGTTAGA